GAGGACAGCTCATACCAGCAGTCTGCTTGCAAGTCAGCTGCATTTAAAGGCATCCGATGTAATTTTTAGGGCAGCAAAACTAGATTTTCAAAGTCCATTTTCCGGTCATTCTCTTGTAGTACATGTAGTTGAATCATCCCTCTCCCATGACACACTAATGTAAAAAATTATGACGTCCCTGATGGAAAATGGCTGCTTGTTTTCTATCATAAAAAGTATGCGATTCAGCAACTTTACCTGGCTGCAATGTACTTTTTTAAGGATCATGTTGATCAAATAAACCAGTCATTCATTCATTCATTCATAAGCTGGTTTTAGCTATTTATAGGCCGTACTCAAGAAATAAAGAGATTCCTCACAGAGCTTGTTTTGGGGCTACCACTTCACTAACTACTACTACACAAACTGCCACAATGAAAGTAAGGTTAGCAGTGTGTATGTGGATGCAGATTGTGACTCACCAAATGATCCATACTCGTCATAGATGTTCTTCTTCGTCTCATCACTCAGGATGCTGTGTGCTCTGTTGATTTCCTTGAATTTTTCGGTGGCCTCCGGATTGTCAGGGTTCTAAATGTCAGGGTGGAATTTCAGTGCCAGTTTTCTGTAGGCTCTCTTAATCTCATCTGGTGTCGCATCTTTCTTCAGGCCCAACACTTGATATAAAGACTCTCCTGCAAACAAGTTAAGAGATTTGTCATTTTCAATCACAAGTTTCAAATTTGCACAAAGTTAGGCTATACAACCTTGCAGTTGGTATGCTGTGAGTTCAGTCCTTTAAACTTTAAAATTAGGACTTTCTCTGCATTGCACTCAGCATTTGGTAAAGAGTATGGCAGTCAAACACACACCACTGACAGTGGATCAGCCCCTTGCTGTGGTGCTTGCAGAACTGTGTGGCCCAAGGGCTATTGAATCGGGTGCCGCCCTATGCACCACATGGTAACATTATACAGTCATTTCCAGCAATTATAATTAATAGTGCTTGAAATACTATCTGACTGAGGTTGTCTAATAATAATAATATGTGGAATTCTAATGTCTGCACTCAGGTGCATGTGCTGGGTATGTAAGTCCATGTGGAGTTAGTTAGCTGTAATGGTTATTAACACCTGTAAAATGCCAATCAAAGAATTCAAATGGATTTTAGTATCAAACAATTTTCAGTGTAATCCCTAATCACCTGTAATATTACCTAGCCAGAAAAACCTCTAGTACTGGTTTTAGTTGCAGGAGTCTGGTGGCCGTCCTTAATGCCTGTGTCTATGGGGAAATTTGAAGGGTTTGACTGTACATGTGGGATTGTGTGGCATTAATGATTGGGTGGTTGGCCCAGAACCCACCAACATGCCCAATGTTGTACCCTTGGGAAAGGCACTTGACATGACTTTACTTGGAGGAAAATCAGTACCGGTACCTAGCTTTTGCTACTAGTACAAAGATCTCCCCTTCATCTGATACTGTAACACCCCATGGGCCATTGAACTGCCCTGCTCCTAATCCCTCTCCACCAAATGTCACCTTCTGAGGCTGATGCTCCTCTTGCCTTTGGTTACCATGGTGATGACCTGTGCCCCTTGCCACAGGTTCTGCTGGGATTGATGCAGATGAGAGAGACTGGGCCACTTGCCTTCGGTTACCATGGTGTTGACGTGTGCCCTTTGCTGCAGGTGCTGCTGTGATTGGTGCAGATGGGTCTCAGAGACTGGACTATCACTTGGAATCTTTCACACATACTTGCCGCCATGAGATTGTCCGGCAAACCTGCGACCCCCAGGGGTGGCAGCCTGACCTGCCGACGACAGATTGGGCACTGGAAGGTCCCTCTCCTCCCTGCATGGTCCTGTAGACAGTCCTGACAGAAGGTGTGCTGACAGGGCAGCACTTTGGGCCTGGTGAACATCTCAAGGCAGATGCTGCAGGACAGTTCTTCACGGATTTGTGTTCCCAGACTTGACGGTGCAGCTGCCATTTTGCCGTGTTTTTCAAACCTGTGATATCGAGCAATATCTAGAGTTTTAGTTACAGGCCTTGGCTGAAAGGTATTTGTATTCAGGGGTTTTATTTACACTGATCAGGTCCGGTGCCTAACTAAGCTTTAAAGGTATGTGCCCTAATGGCAAACAGAGAGAGGGCAAGGACCTTGCCAATATAATAATATAAGCTGAAATTCACTACAAACACAACTTTTTACAGCATTGAGGTGACCATTTCTCAACCTCATCACTGTAAAACTAAAAAGTCTTGTACTGCCTGGCATGCAGGCCCTCAGCTTCCCTACCCATGCCTACCCATATGTTTTCCAACTATTTCCATATTTGGTAGCCGGTGTGTTCTGTAGCACTGGGGTCATTGACCCGGGGTCATTGACACAATTAACTGGGGTCATTGACCCTGACCCCAGTTCCAGTTTCTAGACCCGGGTTCTAAAGTTTTTTAACCCCATTGTTTGCCAATAAAATCATTTTTTGGCATCTATGTTGACCACGGTTCAGTGCCTTATGTACCAACTTACCAGCATGCTGGATTTCCTTTTCTTTCAGCAAGGAGGTTAAATACAAGTCCATGCTTTCAGGCTCTGATCACGAAAATATTGATTTTTTTGTGTGTGTTTGGAATGGAAGAATTAGAAACTGAGCAAAAACAATATGTTTTCCTTCAGTAAACATAATAACATTACATAAGCCACAAAAATGGCAATCACAGTTGCATACAATTAAACAATAAAAAGACAAAGCACTAACACTAGCTACAGGTATGTATACATACTTTCTCAAAATCAAATCAGTGCAACCACAGTGACTGTTTCATACAATTATATACCAATTACCTGCACAGAATCTTCTCTTCAAACCTTATCTCCACCTGCTTCAAACCCACATATTAAACACACTGAAACAGCTCCGCGTGGCACCGAAGGACAAAACACCTAAAGAAAGATAAGTGTGGCGTCGCGTACTGCATTCCATGTCAGGGAACCACAAGGCAGGGACCTATGAAGAATCCTATACTGGCGAGACAGAACGCTCACTGAGGACGAGATTTCTTGAACACAAACGCCCCAGCTCGCTGTCATCTGAAGTTTCTCAACACATCCACATCGAATCACCGGGCCATACCGTCTCTTTGGACAAAGAATTATGCACTGGACACTGAACAGGACTACTATTTAAGAGGCATTATAAAGGAGGCCATATACAAGTATCAGAGCACTTCAGCCTTCACTATAATAGAGATGATGGACGATATAAACTCCCTGGCGACAATGCTCTACGTTGAATTCAGAAATTCTCGATTACGCTTCCAATAAATTCCAAGTGGCCACAACGCATTACGTAGAATTAAAATGGCGAATATGCTCTACATAAAATTATTAGAACGGTCCGTCTACGCTCTGGCCGATTACGCTCTACGGAATAGGGCTTGCGGGCCCCCCTGTAACACCAGAATGGACAAAACCGAAATTAAACTACTTTCACTTGTGCACAGGTTTAATTTTGGGTGCTCAGAAGTGCATACATGCACTTCCCACCCAAGGACATTATACAGTATAATGTCCTTGGTGCAACCAGTTAATTTTAGCCTTGGGAAGTCTTGTTTACGCTAAGTTTTTGGCGGGAACGTTGAATGCACACGTGCGGTACACGTTCCAAAAGGTGTTCACTGGGCCAAACTGTGGACGAAATGTGTTTGTAACCGTTTTTAGCCCATAGCGTTTTTCAATTCCACTCAACACAGAAGAAATTTATCTAGTGTTCCCCAAAACCATTATAGTCAAGAACACAGCCTCCCTATCAACAAATTTATACTCAAGTACAAGAATATGGCTTAAAACTTAAAACAACCAAGGAGCTAGCTTCTACGAGAATAGCGTCCACCAAACGCCAATTTCTACGGAACATAACGGTTAACATAACGAAATATAACGTGGTCTGTTGCTACAGGTTTGTTGGAAGTACAAACATGTACAGTCAATGAGATAGTTTCTTGTCTTACCTCACAAGAACGTGTCTTCTCAGCACCACGCCGTCCTTCCCGCCATGGCCGCCGCCATTTTCGTCCAAACTTCGCCCTGCCAGGAAAGACATGGAAAGACGAATTTCTCTCCTTCAAACCATGCTCAAACATCCAAAAAACGGCATAAATCCGACCTGGAAACGTTCAGACGATATTTTGCGGACAAAAATCAGAAAATTTACCCCCAAAAGTTGGAGAGAATTCACGCACACAACACGCCAAACGACAACGTGCGCCACAGCTGGTCTGCACCTGGTAGGACGGACGGTACCATGTGTGATAATTACATAGGGGTGCGAGGTTAGATACGTAGAATTTATAAGCATTATTGTAGACGTTAGAGTAGATATCAGTTAGATTTATATCAACTCTGAAGAGCCTGCCATACATTGTACGTGTTACAATTGTTGTGCAATTAAGTTTGACTTTGAGTAAGATAATTTGATCCGCCATAAAATTGCAGGTTGCGGTCGCGTTGGACAAGTGGTCGCCTTAGGTAAGTTCCTTGATGCGTACGTAATCGGGACCAAGCAATAGCTCAGCTGTCGCTTTGGCCAGATGGTCGGCTCATACAGGTGGTCGCTTGGGCGTCAAGTCAAGTTCGGTTTGACTAGCTGGATCCAAGTTTTCCTTCATACTTCAAGTATGTACGTACTAGTGCATGTGTACTGGCTATATCTAGACAAGTTGGGTTTGACTTCTTTAAAAGAGAGAAAGACGTGCACGTGAAGCCCCATGTTTTGATTGTGGTTAAGCGGAGAGCAGCTAATAAGAGATCAGAGGTCTCCCTGGTCTGCCAAAGATCAAAACGTGTCTAGATACAACTCAGATGTGAAGTAATCACATTATCTGTCTTTTGTCTATCGCCCGATCACGCGGAAAATTAAGATTGATGATTCGACCTTGTCAGAGGCGAGTCTGTGATTCCGAAGCACTTGTTCAACAGGTTTAACGATTTTAGCCATAATTGATGTCACCATTTGTATGTAAACAGTTCGCTGACAAGCTGACCCTTATAGCTGGATAGCGTAGTTGCAGCTGAAGTTTTTGTTACTCAACCGTACAACATATTTGTTACAAACTACGTACAGGGTTCAAGAAAAACGAGAAATTCAGGATTCAAGACGGAGCCTTTCTCAACAGAAGCGAGCGGTATTTTGGCGCTACTTGTCCTACCAGACGTGCCGGCGTCGACAGGCTAACACTGAAATACGATGTCCTCAAAAGTCCGCCTCTCCCCATGTACTAGTGGTATTTCTTGGGCGTTGTTTGTGATTCTTGCAGTCAGCCACCTGTCACGGGGAGCGGAGAACTGTCCCGTGTCCACAGAAAGACTGGTACAAAACCAGTACCCAGGTTGCGTGTGCCTTCAGGAGTTCGTCGGCGGGCTGAGGAGCCCCGTGGCCATGCTCCAGCCTGACGACGGCACGGGACGGTTTTTCATCGTGGAGCAGATCGGAGTGGTGCGGGTGGCAGACAAGTACGGGCGGCTGCGGAGAGAACCGCTCCTGGACCTGACCAGGAGGGTGCTGACGTCGGACGCAGCCGGGGACGAGCGGGGGCTACTCGGCATGGCGCTTCACCCGCGGTACAAGGACAACGGCTACCTGTACGTCTACTACACCACCGAGCAGGGAGGAACACGCAGGACCGTGGTGTCCAGGCTAAACGTTTCCGACGACGAGAACTTGAAGGAACTAGAAAAAGGAAAAGGTGAGCTGTAGAAAATAGAGAATGAAAGAACAGTATCTGGTTATGTAAGCAGTTAGTCGCCATTAGCATTTAGCCCCAGGGTTAAATGTATCCACCACTTTGAAAAACAGTATGTTGAACAGATCTCTAGTGTAGCATCCCAGGTATGCACAGTTTAGGTATGCAGGAGTGTTTTACATGTATACATTGGGGGGGCGTTACTCCTTTAGACCCTTTTTGTCAGGGTGGCAGACGAATGTGACCTAGCTAGAGGAGTGATAGAGGTTACTTGGACGTTTGGGAATGACACGGATAAGTCTACTTTTAAGCGTGACTGTTAGCACTTTCATAACTGTTGTCGAACGTTAGCAGGGGTTGTAATGAGCTAGGTGCCCCCAGGGGATTACCCATCATCCATACCGCACATTCTTCACCTGCAGGCTGACCCTCGTTACGAGAAGGTGCTTCTGGAGATCGAGCAGCCGGGCAATCGGAACAACGGCGGGCAGCTGCTGTTCGGACTGGACGGGTTCCTGTACATATTTGTGGGAGACGGGGGAGGGGCAGGCGACACCGCAGGCGACAGGTACTGACAGGTGGATGAAAAGATGGACGAAAGGTGGATGAAAAGATGGATGAAAGGTGGATGAAAAGATAACGCTAACTGCGATTGTGGCTTTTGTGGCTTTTATACATGTAATGCGATTTTTCTTCTTACGGCACGTCACTCCTGACCCTATCCTTTACAAGGACCCGGGTACAAATAGAAGTGATATGCGATCTGGCAAAAAAAGCACATTATAAAAGCTCAAATAAAACCCCAGTCGTAGAGTTTACAAAGGAAGCTACATAAAGCACAGACACAAGTTATCAGGTAATATAAGATAACGATCATAAGAAAACAACATATGCAAAGCGTAGGGGATGTCGAGACCGGAAAAAAATTATATGGCATTCCTAAAAAAATGTTTAGTGCTTGTTTATGGCCCGCAGACCGAAGCCAAGGATCCACAGCATTTCTGTATTTCAGGTCTTCCCTGTTGGGTAAGGTCCTGCGGATCGACGTGGACGGAGCGGGCCCGGAGCGGCCGTACGGCATCCCAACAGATAACCCGTTTGTTTCCGAAGTCCTGTGGCCGGACGCCAGGCGAGAGGTGTTCGCGTTTGGCCTCAGGAACCCCTGGAGATGTTCACTGGACCCTGGAGTCGACGAAGGTAACGAAAATAGGATCTTTTGTTCTTTTAGTTGTATGACTCTGATTTTCATTCCATTAGTCCGATCAGTCGTATACAGTAGTTTGTTCTTGTATCAAACTATAAATGTCTGACTAATGAATGTTTAATTTAGTCTCGTCTACTAGTACCATGTAGATGGAGGCAAGGAGGATGATTTTAACTTCCTTGATGGAGAGTACAATGATTTCAGGGAATATCATGATGTCAATGATAAATTTTCGTGCTTGTTGGTAAGTGACAAGTGAAAGAGTGGATCAAGTCACAACTGCAGTTTCCGTAGGAGCCGGTACAGGGCGCATCTTCTGTGGAGACGTGGGAGAGTCGGGGTATGAGGAGATCAGCATCATCAGTAAGGGTAGGAACCACGGCTGGCCGGACAGGGAGGGGTACACATGCCAGAACACTGGCAACTGTGCTGGGGGTGAGCTATCATACGGCATTATTGTTTCTTGTGCAGTGTGTATGGAGAGCGGAGTTATCCTCTAGCTAGCTAGGCTGCATCTTGCAGTATGGAGGAGTCGGCGTTGTAAAAGATACATTCTGAAAATCTTGATAAATAAATAAAATCTTTCGCACGGCAGTCATCCTTTACTCTTAACATGGAGGTAGAACTACCTCTAAGGCAGTCGAGCCCACATAGTACTCCTTGTTCCAAAGTCAATTTTCGTCGCTCAACGCGTACGATCTCTCAGTCTATCACCGTCTAGTGAGAAGTGGGTCTTGGAATGTTGGGCTGCACTACGTTCAAAACACGTTCACTGGCCGTTAAACTGTTTTGCCTAACGGAACAAATATCATTTTACAATACCTGTATTTCTTAAGTCATAACTTCTGAAGCGGAAAAAACATGCACAAATTTTACCATGTGAATATGTTGACTTAGATGGATAAATTCGTGTATGGTCTTTCCCTCCAGACGACGTCCTTCCCATTGACGTGTACGGCCGAACAGAAGGGAGGAGGGCTGCGGTGATCGGCGGTGTGATGTACCGGGGGTGCGGGGTGCCCGATGTGAGAGGGCTGTATCTGTATGCCGACTATCTAGGGTGAGACACTAATACACTGTACCTGTTAATTTAAACAATTAATTTCGCGGTGTTTTTTTTTTTATAGTTCACCGTAACTGAGTAAGTACTCATCGCACTGCGAATACGTTGTCTGTCATTTTGTTCCCACTTTTGTTTCTAACGTGAAGGCTCAAATGTAATGTAATCTCTTGTAGGCTATCATATGATGGAAAATCAACTAAGGAATATTCCACTGAATTTCCCAAGATTTTCTCACACAACTCGGGTAAGCACTAACAAAACTAAGTGCCAAATTGAGTAGGAAGTGCACAACCAAGCTCCCACAGAAGGCAGTCAGAAAAAATAGAATCCCCCAAACGTCTGCTTGCAGATTAACGAAAATTCAACACTTGCTACTCATTTCCCCCCAGCTTGATGAATAAGGAACTTTTCTACCTTGACGAGCAGCCAAACGGATCGTGGATGAACGGGACTGTCTGTGTGCTGAACAACCGAGAGTGCGTGACCAACCTTCAACCGTCAGTAAAAACCGAGGATCACTTCATTCTGGGCTTCGGACAGGACTTCTCAGGTTCTTACAGATTTACTTCATGGAGGAAAAGCTGGATTTAGCCTGTACTAGATCAATTTCTGTGGATTTAATGGGAGAATTTGGCCTGTTCATACAGATTAGTTTTTATGTATTTTCTTGATCTGAGGGGAAAGGCTGGCTTTGGCATCAACTACTCTCCAAGCAGAGGTTTAGGTCTTTGGTTATTTTTGGCGTATTTTTAGGCTTTTTTTATCGGGGTTTACTTTTTTGCACTGGGATGTTGGGTTGGTTGAAAAAAAAATCCCGTGCAAAAAAGAAACCCCGATAAAAAAAGCCTAAAAACACGCCAAAAATAACCGAAAATCCAAACCTCTGCTTGGAGAGTACGGTTCTTACAGATTAGTTTTTATGAATATTCTAGGGCGAAAGGATGGTTTTTGCCTCAACAGCTGATCAAATTTGGGAAATACCTGTATACTACATTGGCGTACACGGCCAACCGGCTACTCTTACCATACCACTATACTGTATAACGCTAACCGAATTTCTTCTCCACCAGGTGAGGTTTACCTGCTGACGACCACCAGCCCCGTCGTGTCCCAGCGTACAGGGAGGATCTTCAAACTCGTGGACCCCCGTTCTACCGCCTGCCCTGTGTGCGGGCTGTCCCTGGCGTTTTTACTGTCACTCGCTGCGTTGGTAATCACAATGAGCTCTGCTGTATAGAAATATATATTTATTTCGTCGGTGAAGGTCAGACATCCAGATAATTAGATACGTCAAAAACAGTTACTCAAGCAGCTGATTTTGGAAAGTCAGACGTTTCAGGTAGCAACCACTACCTTTCGTCAATGACTTGCGGTATACATTTATTTCACTCGCGCAAGTTAAGAAAGGATCGGAAAACAAGCATCTTTGATTTATGCAATCGCGCGAATACTGGTACATTTCCTCTAGGATGGAACATTGTATGTAATGTAAACAATAATGAAACAACAAAGAGACCAAGAGTTTGAAACTAAAACTAAAAAAGAGGACAGAGCTGGTGTGTGGTTTGTAAAAAATATTGCGTTACTTGTACAGTTGTTTTAAGTATGGACGATATTGAGGATATGTCAGTGGGATAAGTATGTAAGTGTAGTGGAGTCCTGGAGTAACAAAGGACATACATAATGTACTGATGATGTACTATACTGTCGTTTCTGACAAACCTTTAGATGTGATTAGTAGCCATATAATGTACAATTGATGTGCAGTTCTCGAATTGCCCGCAGAGATTCTAAACATTTGAAGAAAATGTCCGACGATTTACATCATGTATTTCATGCCGTCATTTATATTGTACAGTTATGAACTACAAGTAAGGATTGCTGAATAAGAACAGCTGCAAAGCTAGATGATGCAGTATTAAGATTACGTTATATGTTATATTATATGTTTATCCCCGTCAATCTTTGAAGGTTGACCGACGCGAATATATGTACAGTATATATACAGTGTATCACTGATGACAATATATGGACCTATCCTTGGTGCTGAACTTCAGGTGCAACTCTAAATCGGGACATTATTTACTCGTTATTTCAGGAAATGCTTGTCCTCGTCTGCTGCTACTAGCACGGAATAAAACAGAATGACTTTTAAAAGTTCCTGACTGTACGGCTGGGTTTTTGTAACCTTTGTTTTGCACGCAGAAAAGACGTTTCATAGGTCATGTTTTGTTCTCAAAATTTATAGCAATCGTAAATTATCTCACAGAGACGTGTTCCTGAAACACTGTCGCCTTGCTTCATTGTTCATTAGATACGTATAACCGTAAAAGTGAAAAAAGGAAATAGCCATTTTGTATTCAATTTCGTTTATTATTCGCCTGCACGCTGACGTAACTCCATCTGGGCGGCGGAGGAAACCGGATACCCCGGTCTCTATGCACGTTACCACCCCTGAACCCACGGCGGCAGGTGTCGGACAGAACCAGCATGGCGGACGACCCGTACACAGGCGACCCGCTAGACGTCTACAGGAAACCCGACAAACAGTTCTCCCAGGAAACGGTGGGGATCGCGAATACTTTACTGGAGAAGAAGGGTAAGCGTGGACCACGCTGTCCAGGGTTGCGTGTCCCTGTAAAGTTGTAACATTCAGGGTTGTGTGTCCTGGCAAATTTGTAACATAGTTAACGTTACATTAGCGGTACGGCGTTTTATTCTTCAAGCAGGCGTAAAGACACAATATGTTACTGTTTGTTGCTCGTCCCTTCCCTTCTGGAAGCCGCATAGCTTTAAGAAGTAAACGCAGGAGTCCATATGACTCCCCCCTGCTGAGATTTAAACGTTTCGACCGACGGTTAAGGCAACTTAAGGTTAAGTCAGGTCAGTAATATTAGCACCGTATATGGCATACATAAGCGGCAGTGATACAATATCTAGTATCGAGGCAACTTTGGTTACCAGTCTAGACTACGTACACATTTAGCAATACAGGATTTGTCCAGTTGGGAAGTAATGCAGCTGTGTAATTATCAGATTGTATAACCATTTGGTTTACCCGCAATGAAAAGTTTAGCACAAATCATTCTGTCACACGCTTATTGAACCTGTGTTTGTATGTCATGTTCTGTGATGTTATGACTCTAAACTACCTTTACAATGGCTAAGTAGAGTCAGGGGTTCTAACGTTGGATGGTGTAAGGTGTCAATGGATATTTCACTACTACACCTATCAACAATATAAAAGGTGATGTACTCCTTTGTTCCAGTGAGTTTGGGTCGTCCACCAAGTGCAACTATGAGGAACAGGAAGGCTGCTATTCTCAATGAACTTTCATCAGCCAAGAGTACCAGTAAGCACAAGGCATTCCATGTGCCCTCCCCTCCCGCTGTAAGAAAGGACACGACAAAACCAAACTTTCCTAACAGGAAGGTACGCAGTGCACAGGCGAGGTACTCCACTGGTGGTAAGCAGAAACCAGAGGGTAGGAAAGTAAAGAGTGCTCAGTCATCATACACACAGCAGGTAAATCTGGGAGCACAGAAAATTCAGGACACGAAACCAAACTTCGAAGCAAGGAACACGAGAACTAAACAACAAACAACATTTCGTGACTTTCGGGAAGATACAACACCACAAAGGACTCCTCCTACATATGAAGAAGTGGTTGACAGTTCTACCTCACAGTTAAGTAATTTCTTCTTTAAGACTGAACTAGAAGAAGAGGAGGACACGTGTGTTGGGTTGGATCCCTACAGGCTGGTTGGGAGTACAGCAGAGTGTTTCCCATACAAGTGTGCCACGCCTGGAAACCAGGGGTCGGACTTGGACAAAGGCAGACAACAGGACGACCTTTATGTTACAGCAAGGTAAGGTCAACTGTCTGTCACTCTTACGGGATTGTCATGTTCACAGAAAAGGTCTCGGTTGTTTTCAACTAACAGTTTGTATAAATGTGAATGTAGACATGTTTCTAGATATCACAACCAATCAGGGCTTTTGAATAACAATTTGGCCTTATCCAAAATTTTAACATATAAAAGTCAAGCCTCATAAGAACTTCAATATGCCACATGTGTAGTAGCAGAAAAAACAGACTCTCATCAAGTGATTAATTTTCTTTGTTTTTATTCTAAGACAGCAACACAGCCTTCTGATACAAAGTGTTTCAGATAGGAATTAGACAATAGATCCTATAATGGGGTAATGGGTTTTTGTTGTTCCCATGCTATAATTGTTGTTTGCCTTATGTTATCCACAGAAAGGTGCCCTCAGGAATTCGACCTCTCACCCCATGGCTAACTGAAGATATTCCACCTGAATGGTAAGGACAGTTAGCTGTCAAATCTTGCTCCCTAAGTGTTCCTGCTGAAGGAATTTCATATTACCTATCAGTATGCTAAAGCAGATCACCATTCAATATTTTTGATTGTCACATACACTTTAGATCTTTCACTGCTGTGTCAGAAGACCTTTTCAAAAACTCACCATAAGATATATGAGAAACAACCTTTCAAGACTAAGTGAACTTTAAGTGTATATATAATGATAACTCTTAAAAGTGTCAGCAGGTTCATACATCTCTCCTTGAAGACTGCAGAGTGAAAATTAAGACATGTTCTGGTCCTAATGATTTTCTTTTCTCCATAGGTGTGGTGTTGATCCTAAGGAGTGCCTTGTGTTCCTCCCCTCCCTGCGTACGGTGGACAGTCCCCCACCCTGCATCCCTCCCATGCAATCACCTGTAGATGAACTCCCCTTTACAAGCATCCTGCCTCCTACAAAACCACAGGTGAAAGTTCTGTTTTTCTTAAACATGCATCAATCAATGGTTATATGAAAGCAAAGACAGTTAGTTGTTCTTTCCATACCATTATGATGAAAATCTGGAACTCTGATTTAAGTTTACACTCATGAAATTCTTTTATTCTACAGAACCAAAAGAAACATCAAAGAGTTAGTAGGGAGCAGAGAAGACACTCAGAAGGACATGAAACTCCACAGTTTGGGGCGGTACAAAATGTGGAGATCTTCTCTAAATCAGATGGGAGTCTCCTACATGCGTAAGTATTCTGCTGGGATGTTTAGTTTGTAACACAATCTCTGTCTCCTTTGGAAACTGTTGTACGTGCTTTGTTGATAGCAAAAAATGAAGTACCTGGTATTAGCACCAGCATTGTCTAAGCAATGCAAACATAGACTGGAATCAACAAATTTTTGAAATAATTTTCTGAATTGTTTTGCCTTCTTTGCTACTTTTCCCACAATGAAAAGGTTTAACTCCTTTTGGGATCTTATATTTCACTGTGACTTTTGATAACTTTGCCAATAATTGCCAAAAGTTACTTACTGTGTCAAACTACTACTTCTACATGATCTGAGGTATAATCACCAAGATTTGGGGCCCTCAAAGAAGAGACAAAATGCCCTCCAGCAAAGCTCTCATTTACATCCACAGTGTGATCTTACATATTTAAGAGGTTGCAGTTGTTGGTGCTGTGGGTTGATGTGTTTTGCAGACATCCTTACGGTAACCCCACCCCTCTTACACCTGGTCTGCACCCAGCCCTTCTGAAACAGTTTCAGTCCTTTTCACTGGGTAAAAACACTTCTACGTGTCAGTGGCATCTTATCTGTAAACTGTGGCTCCAAGCCTGACACAGTGTTCTAGTTGAAGTACACCTGAAAGTGAAGGGCACACACATCATATGTTTGAAGTAGGGTTTATATAAGAGGTATTAGGTATCAGGGCTGAAAGGACGGTTTGTTTTCTCCGGCTGGCTGTTTCTCTCTTGTTGCGTCTCCTTTGTTTAGAGTGGCTCCGAGGTAAACAAAAGGTTTTGGGTCAGTTCACAAGCAGGACTATAGGTTATCTGCAGGCTGAAAGTGTCATGCCATTCTCAATGTTAAATTAGGTCCTAAATAATAATACTCTTCTATAACCGATAACCGACCATGCAAACTTGGGAATAAATCCAAATTCAGTAGATTTTGTCATCCCAGAGATGCTCTTGAATCTGTAGAAAAAGAAGTGCAAATAGAAAAAGAAAGTTCACCTACTTTGCAGTCTTGGTACTGTTGACCACCTCTTGAGCTACTACACAACTCAATATGATATCAGGCTGCTGAAAACATCTATTTTGCATTTCAATACAAAAGTTCATAATGTAGAAATGATCAAAACATGCTGAACTCACGTGTACTCTGCCTTGTTCACTTCAGGAGCAATGAAAGAGAGAAATCTATGAAGGAAATCAGGAAAGAAATAGATGAGCTTGATAGCATCTTACAAGGTGAGTATAAAGACACAAACCTTAGTGTGATAAAAATGTAAAATAATATGTCATGTGCCAAAAAACAGTTACTCAAGCAACTGGATATGATTTTGAAAACGTCAGACGTTTCAGCTAGTATCCACTAGCTTTCGTCAGTGACTGAGAGACCAGAGGGGAAAGCAGGTTTATATACACCTGTTGATTGATATGCAAATAAAGTGAAGACAAATTTTTGGAAGTCGAAAAAGGAACAAAAGTCAGACAAGTCAAGACAAGATGATGCAAATTAGTCTGAAAGCTCCTGTTATACAGGACAGGAGCTTAAGTGTTGTCTGTCCTCGGGGCTGGGAGTGCCAAATCCCAAGTGCCGGAAAGATCGACCCGTAGCCCCCCTTCCCTGTTGAGGGTGGGGTTGTACATTCTTTCATATATTGCCTCTTTAACACCCCGTTCCCACCAGCGTGTTTCGCGGTCTAAGACATCCGTGGACTCGAGTTTGAAAGAGTGACCCTGGTTGTGTTGTAGGTGGTGGAAAATAGCTGAGGAGTAGCCGTTGGCACTAGGTCGGCAATGTTCTGGGGCTACGGGTTGGGGGGCTACGGGTCGATCTTTCCGGCACTTGGGATTTGGCACTCCCAGCCCCGAGGACAGACAACACTTAAGCTCCTGTCCTGTATAACAGGAGCTTTCAGACTAATTTGCATCATCTTGTCTTGACTTTTGTTCCTTTTTCGACTTCCAAAAAGTTGTCTTCACTTTATTTGCATATCAATCAACAGGTGTATATAAACCTGCTTTCCCCTCTGGTCTCTCAGTCACTGACGAAAGCTAGTGGATACTAGCTGAAACGTCTGACGTTTTCAAAATCATATCCAGTTGCTTGAGTAACTGTTTTTTGGCATATCGTATTACCTGGATGTCTAACCTTCATCGACGTAATATGTCATGTGTTGTCAATAGCAAATTTAGAAGTTTATTGCTCTGGTGTCGGGTTATCGTTTTGTAAGGAGGTTTATACAGATAGAAGGAATGGCTTCCATGCAGGTGTGACAAGTTGTTCAGTATAACATAGAGAGTGCTTGCTTATTTTACCAAAGAGCAGTTATGCAGTGCACCAGTCAGAAATGCTGGTTTCCCTTGATGGTACTGATAGTTGACATTATTTACTGGAGGCCAAAAATGTCAAGACTGTTGAAAATTGCTGTACATTTATTGTTGTAACATGGTCATCAATTCTCCACAGGAATGGAAAGAGAAGAAACAGACAATATTGTGGTCCAGCAGCAAGATAGCATGTCCGACGACCAAAAACCTTTTACAAACGAGGCTCCAATGTGAGCAGTTTTTGCTCAAGTTAACTAACACAATATACAGTTATTGCACGCTTCGCAAATTAATCCATACATGCACATGCCATGCTTTGCAGAAGCCTGTTTGTACATGTACAATTTTTCATGCAAATTCTTATGGTAGATCTTACTTTGTCGGAAACCAATTGTCTGTCTTGGATATTACAGGAGACCGTCTGAGCCAAAAGCTGAAGGTATAACCCACATGGTAGGTGCACATCTTTTCATAAGATTCTTTGATGCATCTTTCCATCTTTGATGCCATTATACAGTGTCTTCATTCTTTAAGGTAGTAGTTACAAAGTTTTCATGACACATGTAGTAAACCTGTGTCTGTCATGAATGTAACATGTAGTTGATTTCTTCACTGAAAACAATAATCCATCCATCCATCCATCCATCCATCCATCCATCCATCCATCCATCCATCCATCCATCCTTCCTTCCTTCCATCCATTCTTCCTTTTTCCCTTCCAATATCCATACACCAGGCATTCATGCCCCACAACTTGAGTGGTGTGTAACCCTGCCACATGCCCATGTTTTCCAGCGAGAGTTAGAGGAGTACACAGATGAGTGTGAGGTGGTGCTGGCTTCTATCAGGAGACAGAGACAAGAGAGTCTACACGAGCTGGCACAACTGCACCCAGCACTGGCCAACAGAAAGCTGTCATTATAATACATAATGGGTGATCATGTTACAAAATATACAATATTTTTTCACACACAAGTATAAGCTGAAGATTCTTCCTTCCTATAGACCAAAAATGTTTGGCTAAAATAAAATAAAAAATGAAATGTCTGAGAGGATGAAACATACATTTAAAAGATTAATATGTTTAGCCTTGTACTTATATCCAATGATGTATTTCCATGACCCATTTGTAGTTGTAGATTGAAGCAAAATGACAGACCAGACAGGTGGAATGTACATAGTAGTGCAGTGAGTGCTGGTAATATCATAAAGAACATTTAGAGTATATTTTTATTCACACCATTTGTATTAGATACATTTATATGTTACTCTTATGTGGGATGTTTAGATAATAAAATCATAAGTATTCTGATTTTACTCTTCATTATTTCTCAAGGAACAGTAGATATTCTTCTCAAGTGCAACAATTTTCCAGATAATTTTCCAGTTAATACTGATGTATACTGACATAAGAAACCAAAAAGTATACAAGCTAGGTTAGAAACCACAGTCACACACAAAAAGGACAGAACTCCAAATATATGATGAGGTATTTTATTATGGCATAGCTGTTTTTGGCACAGTATTCTTTGCCAAATAGATAGTGAATCAATTTACATCACAGGAGACAACCGCTCCCACCTCTTACCAATGCAGACATAATCATAAAAAA